ATACATTTGTGAACGTTGAAATTGATCTAGCCGTGTTGTTTAAACCATCTGTTATTATATACAATATACAAATTTAAAAAAAAAATTGAATTATACGTTTTATCATATCGCATGTATGACTCTCTCGCGTGTAACTCTGTTGTCAAACGAATATAAATATTTAATCTTTATTTCGTTCGGAGATAACGATAATATTATATAATGTATATACAGGAAGTATATCGTTCCGATATGGGGCGTCTATTTTAATCTTATCTTTTTTTTTTTTTTTACAAGTTATCTTCTTTTTTTTCCTTCCGGCATATTACACGTTTTGCACAACACAACACAACACAACCAACCAACCRACCTACACCTCTTCTTGTAACAAATTAGAAAAATGATAATCGTCGTCATTATCAGAACATCTTCTGAGTATCCTCTACAGTTTGCTCAACTATACTTCTTCTTCTATCCTTTTGTAATACGATCTATCTCTCGTACACCTTCCGTTTACTCCGGATACTAATTTTCATCGAGGTTGCAAGCATTCGACTTTCGTGAAAAGATAAATTTTCATTCTACGCTTCTTTCATCCCTTCCTTTCTTCCAGCAACAGAAGCAGCCACTTAACATTCCCTTCCATTAGATCCTTCTTTTGCACGGTGTATCTCTTCCCTTTCTTTTTTTCTCTTTTTTTTTTCTTTACATCTTTTTCTATTGTCCTGAATATCCTATTCGCGCATTACTTTATATTATATTCCTCTCGTACATACAAAGTAATATTGCGAATGTTACAAGTACGCGACGTGTTACGAAATAAACTGCTTTCAACATTTCTTCTTCTTTTTTTTTTCTTTTTTCTTTTCTTTTCTTTACATAAATCATTCCACGTTACGATAGAAAAATTTACACGAGATGAAATATATAAGGTGAGCAAATTTTTTTAAACAACCAAATTTACAATATATGCAAACGCACGCACGTTACGTTGATACATTGATATTTATTTCCTCGGTGATTCTTCCTCAAACAACGAATGGACACACGCTGGAATATGCATTTCTACCTAAGTGAAGGTACAACGGTATTTATCTTTCTATAATATAATGCTTGCTTGTTTGCTTGGTGGCATCATATAACCCTTTAGGTAAAAATACATCGCGTGCTGTACATTAAATATATGAGAGTATTTTTTTCAATTCATATCCACGTCGTTTACGTTTAGTTACCTAATCGCATTTCCGTTTCCTATTTTTGTACTATTTATTTCTTGTTCCCACTCCCTTAACCCTCAACTTGCTTCCGGGCACATTTCAAGCAGTTGCTCAAACGCGATACTTCCTTCTCACCCCTTTAATCCACCCCCTTTTTATTTATTTCTACATTTTCTACTTTCTCATCTATTACTTTACTTTACTTTACTTTTTGTTCTTGTCACCCTCGTTCTTTCGAACCTTCTTCGTTTCTCTGAGCAAATGCCCTTGACGAAAGCATTTCCCTATTCCCCACTTTCACCCTTTCTAGGTGCAATACAAAAATAGAAATAGAATTGAAAATCAGATTCACCCCAGACGAGCGTGAAAACAAGCAAGCGTGACGAGCTTGAGTTTTAACAAGCCCATTTTCCCTACCACCCTTTTCTCTTTCCTTTACAAACACATATACACACATTGATAGATAGATAGATAGATAGATAGATAGATATATACACACTTTCAGTACGCACTCTCTATCGAAAGTATCAATCGGCCATCATTAATTTGTTCGTTTGTTTCCAATCACGTATACTACTCACGTTCACGTCCATCTAATGAATATACTTGCGCTTGCGTTGTCCTATTACTATATATATATATATATATATATATATATATATATATATGAGCGCTGCGCTAAAATGCAATTAAAAGTCGACCGATGGAGGAATATCTGTCCCTCTTCTTTCCCCTCCCCCTACTCCTCCCCTACCCCTCACCGGAACCTTCCAATTTCCCGCAAATAATAACAATTAACTTCCGCAATTAATCGAGCACTTGTTGTGTTGACATGACGGGAATCATAATAATATCGAAACACCAATAACGGGAAGTATAAGAAGACACACACACACACATTCATACAAACACACGGAAAATTTTCTACGAGTGTACATATGCATGTTTGTAACATATATGTGTGCACATATACACATATATATATATGTCCCTTCTGTTTTTGTTTGAAATTTCATTTCTTTTTGTATTTTTTTTTTCTTTTTTTTTTTAATTTTATTCGTTCTTTCTATTTTGTATTTTTTTAAATTTACAATCTCATATTTTCCTTGTAACAGTTTTTCCATTCCAATTTGCCTCTCCTCTATGAAATTCACTATGCTCACTGGATCCCCACTGTATTATACAGTAGCTCGTCATTTTTTGCTATACCCTGTACGTACCTATGTAAAAGTTTTTAGCACAACGTTGTATCATTCAAGTTGTTCGTTTTTTTTTAATTA